CGTTGTTGGATAGACTCGTTCACAGCAACATAATTAGAGGGGAAGTCTTTCGAGTCTACCTTTTGACATTGATCAAAATTAGTAGTTATGCACAACGCTGATTTTTGGTCTTGTATCTCAAAGGTATAGTTTGACTTGATTCGATGAACTCAAGTTAGGCTTCAGTGGTTACACAAGCCCAGGGGCACGCACGAGGCGAAAAGCCATGGGTCTTTCTGATATATCCCTTGGCAACTTTGGTAGTTTGTGGCCCTTGAAAACGATTAGTCTATATTGTTATGATTACCCTTTATTTCTCAGGTTTTCTTTCTTTTGTCCATCAGCGTCCGCAAAAAAGTTCAGATCTTTCAAGGAATTCTTTTTCTCAAAAAAATAGAAGCCATTATAAACGGTCTGCTTGTTCTTACCCACAATTTCAATCGGGGAAAAAAGCCACGAATTGCTTTTTCCATATAATGAAATATTTATCATGTTAGACCAATCGGACCCCTGGCAAAGTCGTATTATTTCAGTGCTTGAAAATTGATGCAGCATCATGCGACTCCTTATCGCCCTGTACATAGTATAGACTCTTACGACGTACAGATCCGAGGACGCACAATTTATTTTCGATGATATTCCGATTGGCATGTTCCCCTTGCCATTACTTCCCGTCCTGCACAGCATCCTTGCCAGTAATTCTAATTTTTATAAGATTTTCGCCGGTGGCTTGATTTCTTTGTTCGCGTTGCTTTTTCTCTCCCCAATTTTTACTTTCGAGGCTGACGAATCAGGCCATAAAAGGTCTAGGCCTCTATGTTTGCTAATGCCGATCACAATCCCTCTAGCTGTCAGTTAAAAAGCTCCGGGCGAAAAACGAACTCGATAGCTTCGACGGAAGAGCCGGAAGGGTAATTATGGTGTGCATACTTCGTACTCCATACTGTGCAGAGAAGGGCCGCGACTCAACGCACTGACCTACTCCTAATAGCTTAACGGTGATCATGACGGGGTCTCGTATATTCGAAAGCCACAGGAGCTTCGGGTTGCAAGCATTATGTGTTTACGGAATAATAAACCCGGCATTACCAGTCTAGCTTCCGATAGGCTCAAAGGGGGGTAAATTACTGTATTATCTCGAGAATGATAGGGGGAGAGATCCAAATGGATCTGTCAACTGACTAGCACGTTTTTTTTCTCCCTCTTAGCTTCTAATCTCTTAGCTTTTGGCTTGCAACTACATAATACTTACCGAAATTTGAGGGTGGGAAAAAAGGACAGATCTGCACCTGCACAGGATTTACATGCAAACTACCAAAATATTTCAACCAACCAGAAAAAAGCAAAAAGTGAGGCAAGGTACTAGAAATGACTTCATGAAAACAAGCGGTGAATGAGAGATATTGGTCGAATTGCAAACGTTTATCTGATTAATTTCTATCCACTTGAAACAGGTATATTCTAAGCACGGAGTACATTAATTGCCCAATAGGAAGTTCTTAAAGTTCTACTGAAGTCTGGTACACTACTGAATATTTCTCATGAACCTCTCTGCGGAGACACAAAACAGTTCTAGTGAGGTGGAGTATCTCCCGCAAATCGCCGATTTAGTGAAAAACGAGAAAGAGGGGGGGGGTTGTTCACTATCTGGTCCGTTCTCAGATGCAAGATCGGCGTACGGAGGGTGTAGATTATGAGTTTTCTGGGTACTCCGTGCTCCGTATATGTTGTATATAGTACGGAAGTACTCCGTAGTTGGTAACCCTCTTCATCAGGTGACTGTGATGGCACCGATTGCCCGCATGCCTTTAACGTACTGTTGTACATTTTGCTCTCGTGGAGGATCCATCGGTCATCCCCGTCGCATTGCATTGCATGAGCCATGCTCTTCCCCGGAGTAGCGAAGCATTCTTACTCGATATGATTTTCCTTGGTCTTCTACGGTGTACGGAGTAGATACTTGTTTTTACTAGCAACATACCTAAAATGAGTATTCATCCATGGCACCATACTCATTTTAATTTCTATATAGACAATTCTATTAATTCTGTACAATTTTTGACTTCCCGGAGATGCCTCGGACAAAATTAAAATTGCAACAGGTCTGTCAAATCGGTACCTGACTCGAGTAACACTAAACCCCTTGTATACCCTACCGGTTGTGTACCCCGAGGGTAAAACAGGGGAAATTTCTCAAAATGACAGCCAAGAATGACAGACTAAATTGAAAGAAGCAAATATACGAATTGACCCGGGAATTTTAATGTTGACCGGTCTAGACTTGTTCCTGCTCCTTCGCCGAAATGGCGGAAACAAGTGAAAAGCAAGGCTTGCCCTAAAAAAGATAGAAATCTCTCCAATGGCGTCAGCGTACTTGGATCTATCCCCGATTGCCCCCTAACAAAGTCCATACTGTTGTAATCAAAAACTGCTAAAATTAAACTATTTGAATTTTTGTCACACATTTCTTTTTTTTCCTTTGATTTAATTGGTGTAAAGCAAAAAATATGACGGCAACAAGCATAATGATTGGTACTCGACCAAATCACGGAGTGGACTGTCAAGCATACGAATTGAAGCCCTCCTGCAGTGTTGGGGATTATTTGTCAGAACCCTCTAGTTAATACCTTTGTCTTTCCAAGGGTTTTTGTGTTTCTTTTCCTTTCTTTGCTTTTGCTTGATTCATCGTCCAAACAGATTCAATCCCAGGTTTCGAGAACGAATCTTTCCACTGCCCGTAATAACGTAGGCGGATTTCACATTCGGCTTCCTCGTGGTTAAGTCGAACAAGCGGGGTCTTTGATACATACATATTTGGGTAGTATCCAGCTAGACCGCGTCCAAAAGAGACATACCCGTTCTATGGAAGAGTATATTATATATTGTCAAATCCCGGGGATAGTACTTTTGTACTACCTAGATAGTTAATCTACACTCCCCCTCCCATTGTTCTATGCTCTATAGTCTATATCTAGGTATATCTATTCTCTTATCCAAACCCTTACCCTCTCAATTGAACTTCAAGATGCAACATATGCAAAGAAATGTTGAAGGTTCCCGGGCCGGAGGGGACCGCAGTGGGTCGTAGTGGAGAAGAGACGAGGGCTGGACTTTAGCGCCAAAAAATCACATCGCAAGGGAAAGTTCCCCCTCTTTTCCCCAACCAAGAGATGCTCTTTTACGACTTGTGATAGGACAACTCTCCAACCTCCTGTTCGGCCCTTGTAATAGATGGGACCAGGTCGTATCAACCGCAGGGCAATGGAGACAGTGGATTCGTCCATACAAAGATCGTCCTTGCTGCTCCTCATTTGCTCATTTTTAGCCGTGTCATCTCTCGTGGATGTCTGATGCGGTTCATATCCTGAACTTCGAAGGTTCGGATCCGTCTTCCCACATGACCTTACCCCAATCCGGTAATATTTCCTTCTATGGATTCTGTTTGATCCAATCTATTATGTAGGGATTTGCTCTCCATTTGTTCTCTCTCTCCTCTCTGTCTCTCGGCCCCCTCTGGTCTACCGTATGATTTGTGTTCACTAGATATCAAGATCCCTCGGACCCGGTTTCTTCACCTCCACAACGTGAACCGTGCCCCCCAAAATACACCCTATGGGGACATGGATTTGGATCTTGACTCTCTGATTCAACGGTTTGCTTTTTGACCCAAATGAAGATATCCCCAATGAATACGCTTTCTACGGGAGTAGTCAATTGTTTGCCTGCCGCTATCCTCTTCCCGATTCACCCTGATCGCCGTCTTCGCCTGCGATGTGCAAGGGTGTTAATGCGGGCTTTAGGTTCAGCGGTTTATCGATCCGCTACCCGGCTCTGAGCAAATCAACTAAGAACTTGGGCTGCGCTTTGAACGAACTTCGTTCTTCTCCCACAGATGATCAACCCTGATTTGACCCAAAATAAAAATTCTTGGGCGAGACCCTCAGCCTCGCTAAAGCGAGGCGAGAACGGTCAGCCACTGCGAAGGACTATACATGTCAAACATCAACATTGAAGGTTTGGAGTGAAAATACTGAACGGTCACGCTGTTATACCTCTATTTTTCAGCACAACCCATGCTTACCTATATTGAACGCTATGCTGGATCTATATCGAATACCAACCAGATCATATTGCCAGTATACAACATACCCATAGCGTCGAGTCTACCATCCTGGTTGGAAGGTCATACGGGATGAAAATAAGAGAGAAAAAAAAAAGAAAACAAAAATCCCAAAAAAACAAGAGTAAACCGCGTTAGCCCTGAGAACGAAGATTTCCATACCTTTACACTGTAATACGAGAAACGAATTGGGCCTGACGAGATGCAACCCCTGCCGCTATATATCGCACGTCCAACCAACCACACGCCGTTCTCCCTCTATTAACAGGGATTATTTTGAAATTGCGCAAAATTAAAATTGTTGTATTCTTAGTATTCTTATTATCCTTTTTTTTTTTTTTTTTTTTTTTTCAAAAAAACCAAAAATCTATTTGTTTTTTATCAAGGATTTTTCTCGTTCGGATGGACTTTTTCATTGTATTAACCAATCACCAACCAGGTCGGCTGGATAACTCTCGGGGGAAGGTTATCATGGATTTCTCCGGACGGTCTTTCTCGTGCCAGTTGCAATCGAGATTCATAGTCGTTCTGTCAAATCCACGCGATACTGATCGTCCTACTGATTTTCCTTTTAACCCCATTGCCTTACCCGCATGCTCTTTTACCTTCTTGCATATTGTATACTTTTTATACACTTCCCACCCTTCTACTTACCTTGCCCTAGGTAGTTTATAGAGCTACCCTCTCGGGACATTACTCTCTATCTTGAGTAATTTTATACAGGTCTACAGAAGCAGTGGAACATGCATCAGATTTTATTGTCTTACCCTTAGATTGTTTCATTGTTCCCCGGGATTTCTTTTTGTCTCTCTTTCTTTGATTTCCTCTCGAACCTATCACGACAAAAAAACCCCCCACCAAAGAAAAGCCCTATCTCCATTGTTTTTGAGATCCATTGTCCATGGAGGAGCCCACCATGGACACGGAGGCTCATCATGTGCCAGAGGGTGAATACCCACATTCGCCATGGGTAGAGATAGGCACATTTGCTTCTCCCCAGCACTCGCCTCCCATGCAAGAATATAGTGCGTTTGACTACAGCCAGTCGCAGCTCATGGCCGTAGACTCGTATGGCATGTCAATACCGCCTCCTTACGCCTCGATGCCACTGCCTATGCCTTCGCATTCCTGGCCCAGTATGCTCACAACACACTCGCCGTTTGCTGCACCTGGATTACCTGTTTCCACTCCGACATCGGTGTCGCCTTCAACTCCCATGCCTCCGGTGCGGAAGACCTCAACTGGAGGGTCTACACCGCGCAGGACACTGACCGACGATGACCGCCGACAAATGTGCATATATCACGAGGAAAACAAGACTGCAAAGCAAACTGATATTGGAGGTAAATATATTCTCTTTATCTGGGCTGAAGGACTAGGCTGACCTTATGTGCAGCATTGTTTGGAGTTGAGCGAAGGTATCATTACAATCTCGTTTTATTCGATTCAAAAAGTTCAACCTAACATGTAATAGCACTGTTTCCAAAGTTCTTCGCCAGAAGGAAAAGTACTTGAACCCTGAAGATGGGAGCCGATCTCCCATCAAACGGGCCAAGGGCAGAGTCCCTGATATTGAGAAAGCTCTATCCAACTGGGCAAGGAACTACCAGCGCCAAGGATATCCCCTGAATGATGAAATGATCAAAGAGAAAGCACTCTTCTTCGCTAGTACCTGCGGTTGCCCTGAAGGCAAGGAAAAGGTCTGCACTACAGCCTGGCTCGAAAAATTCAAGCATAAAAACAATCTCCTCGGTGCAAAAGTGCGCAGAGGATCTACCGAAATTCGCAGCGGATCGAACAGTCCAACCCATCTCAATACCGACTTTGGATCTGCTCTTCAAAGTCCCACCGGACCCTCGCCTACATCTCCGGTTGATGGCTTCGGATCCCCATTATCCCCAGCTAGCCAAGAAGGATTCAAACGAGACATTACCGAACTACCCGATCTGACAGGTGGGTACCAACACGGGTATTCCAAGAGTACAACCTCGCTCGACACTTCGTCGGCGGGTATGATCAGCCCAACATCCACGTTGGTCTCCGACAGCCCTTTCACACCGACAAGCCAATCCCGCCTCCCAGCTGCCAACAGCAACCGCCCACGCAGCCAGACGTTCCCACTTGTCCCCATTGATCCAAGCCTCCTATCGAGTGATGAACTTGCAGACCCACAGCGCCAAAAGCGCGAACTCCAACAATCACTTTCGGTCTCCATCTTGGAATCCCCCGTGGAAATGGACGACACCAATTCCGTCATGTGTCCGATCCACCAGACAAACGTCATCAAGCGCAATCGAAGCAACCCCGAAATCAAGACCATGTCCATGCCGCCACCATCAAAGTCTACTACCATCTCGCCAATCAGCTCTCCTGGATCACCGACGCAGGACGAAGCTCGTCGCGCCCTGGAACTCGTTATTAACTACTTCGACCATCAGCCTGCTGGCCTCGCCGCACAGGAGTACATGACTATCGGAAAGCTTATGGAGAGACTTGAGCTTGCCAAGAGCCAGGCTGGGTTTCTGTTGGGTGGCTTGCCGCGCATTGATGAACATGAGGATATTCCAACTATCCCACGTGTGACGAAGAAGAGAAGCATCCACAATTTGGGATGAGCGCTTGAACAATTGCATTTAGCATATCGTCCCTCTTTTTTTTTTTTTTTTTTTTTGCATTTATTTCCCCCCTTTGTTTTTGCATCATCCCTCCCCCATCCCCAACATTATCTGCTTTACTGTGATTCGTGATTCCCCCATTTTATCTTTCTTCCTTTCCTTCATTCGGTGGTTCATTTGCTTATTCTGTTCATTTTTGTTTTTCACACTTGTACGAACGTCTCTTTATATCCATCCCTTATCTCTCCTACCAGCAATGGCAAGGAGATATAAAACCTGGGCAACCAAACAAAAAACATACACATATCCAGAGGGCGACCTCTATTTTCTTTGGAACTGTTGACGGATTTGGGAATAGGCGTACATACGCCCTGGAATTCCCAGTCTGGACGAGGTGGATGCATATGGATTAATGCACACATGGCAATGTGTGATGGTACACGGATTTGGGATCATCGGCCTTGGACTTGGACTGGGGAGTTTGCCGCTTGCTTTCTTCTTCGGGTTTTTTGCTTTTTTTTTTGTTTTTTTTTTCTTTCCCTTGCTGTTGGTTTGCTATATTCCCTCACCCCCCTGTACTGCATCTCTTTCTTACACTCCTTTCATATTATTTTTTTTTTTTTCCCTTTTCAAAAACTGGGCTGCTCACGCGGAAAGAACATAATTTGGGTTCACATATACATGAACCATGTCAGATTAGTTTTGCCTATTATTATACCCCCCATATCTACAATCACATCTCTTCTATTTTTAAGTTTGGGACTTATGGTCATATGTAGGGCATATCTCATTAATTAAGTCTGGTAATAAAAACAAGGCTGACACAATATGTAGTCTATACAAATGCATGAGGTACTGACGCCACCCCACGATCCTCCAGTAAATCTTCCACACTGTGATCAGCCATTTCAGGGAGTACCTTAGCCAGCACTGTCTCGATAATACTCCAGATCAGATGTTTATTGCAGTACTCATCTGCAAAGAGGTCTAGAAAATCTTTCTCGATTGTCTCTAGAAGATGCAGTTCCTCGAGATCAGTCCCCGCAGATGGATCATCGTCTGTGCGCAGCCGCTCAGCGGCAAGGTGACCAGACGCAACAGGACCGTGACTGGAAGGCAAATGTGAAAGTGATGACGCCAGATTTGCCTTCTCCTCCTGTAAAGATCCTTGGTGTGCGTTGGTGGAAGGCGGTGGAGATGTGACGAGCGAGGAGGAACTGTTGGATCTGCAGGTACCATCACCGCTGTAAGGCGGCGGAGGCGCCGAAGAGGGAACACCAAGAAAATTTCGTGCGAGGGAACGCGGAATCAAGGCCAGGAGACTAGCTGCACATCGTCGCTTGATAGCGGCGATCTCCGTCCTAGATGGGCTGTTCCTTTTCACCGGTTCGGCCGGCTCATTTAACACTGGTGGCGTTGGGACATCGGCTGAGATGGCGGAAAGTGATGAATGGCCTGAGGTGGCTGTTAACGCAGGACCGCTTGTATTGCCGCTGTTATTGCTGTTTTTCCCCGGATTATTAGTTTTGCTAATGATCTTTGTCGTATCAGGGCCCCTGACTCTTTCCACAATTGGAGGGCCAGTTGAAGCCGATGGCGCGAGGGCTTTCTGGCTGGGCGTCGGGGTCTGCACAGACTGCAGAGCCGAGGCCGGAGCTTCAATATGGCCGGCCGCTATCTGAGATGTTGGACGGGTATTGGCTGGGAACAAGGCGGTCCTTGTCGCAAGAAGAAGGTTGGGCAACAAAGTGGGGGTCAGCACGTATTCCTCAATGGTTTCCCGAAGGAATCTGTAGGAGTTAGCAAAAGGATCAAATCATGACGTCGAATTGTAAAAATAAAATAAACAAATTAATTAATTGGAAAAGAGCGATAAATGTCGACTGTGGAGCAACCGGAACGTTGTGCCTTTTTTTCGCATAAGAGAAAATGTCCAAGTCTGTTTTTTTCCAATGAGAATCGACCGTATAGAGTGGGGGTGAGGCGGAGTAAAGATCGGCTTAGGCAAAAGATGAAGGAGCTTGGGCCAGCGACAATGTCAGGGCCAAAAGGGACAGGGATATCATTTTCTGTGAGAACAAAAAACACCCCATCTTCAGCGGGTAACATCCCAGCACCGTACCTGGAGTACAAGGCTTCATGCACGAACCTTCGGTCACATTACGAATTCCAATTCCAGGAATTTCGCTCATTGGACCGAATTCAGTAAATTAACTGGCCTTGCTTTTTTTTTTTTTTTTTCCCATACCAAAAGAGGTATGGCCGAAGTTCACAGTGATCGGCAGGATTTCCGTTTTTTTTTCTTTTTCTTTTTCCCTCTCTCTTTTTGCTCGTGCACGATATTTAGTTTGGTCTTTTTTCTTCTTCCAGAGTTCGACCAGATATTGTCATTTTGGCATCGAAAGTTGACACGGGAATGTGAGGATCAAAGAGAAAGAGTGGAAGCGGCACGGAAAGGGCCGGGCCCCGGCGCTATCACACACTTCAAATCCCAGAGACGGAACATAGACATATCATCCCTGTTCGCAAAAAAAATATTTCAAGGTCGCTCGGACCAGGGTAACCAATCTGATGCCAGAACAGTCTAGTGAGACTGACGGTAACAGTACAGTAAGGAGACCTCGTAAGTTTGTAAGATGACCGTAATCTCATCTCACAGGTAATGCCAGCCTCCAAGGTTACAGATCAAGTGACCGATGCAGCATGCGAGCAAGACGCTTCATGTCCCACCCTAACTCACACAAGTGACACTTGACCCGTAGATCGTGTTTTTGGAGATCGTTTGCTCCACAGTCGAGTATTGATTTCTCATTTAGGGGGGCGTTGAAGGGGAGGAAAGACTTCGGAAATAAAAAAAATAGAACTCACCTATCAAAGATTCCGTCCGTAGCACCGACCCTGCCTGGGCCTGCCAAAATAAGGTATTGGAATAGGGAAAGCGACCCACTGAGCCATGGCATTCTCCATGAGATCCCTAGTATCTGCGAAACCATGGAATACATCCGATAGTCAAGAACCGGGCGTTTACTTGTGATGCCATCTGACTCCATCCCATCTCTTTTCTGAATGGGTGAGGCAAGTGAAACACCGACACCGTGCGAAGAGGGGCCTGAACTCGATGCGACACGAAATAAACCCATCGCAATGAAACGCAAGACGACGCAACCAATGTAGATGCTCTGCAAAAGGTTCCATATCCAAGTGGTGGCTGAGAATGACGCCGGCTGATCTGGGAGCCCATCCTCGGTTGAAAGCAAGCCAAATTTTTCTAATCGGTTGATTTGAGAGTCCGGGGCGGGCTTTGTGTCATCTGGGGTTTGACGGCGTCCCACTTGAGCGGCGAGTTTGTCTATAGTTTCCCAAATGAACCATCCTTCGCATGCCCTGCCACTGACTTGGTTTCCTAAGATCAGATCTGCTATAATATCAACCACCAGTGCTCGAAGACTGCTGTTTTCGAGGTCTTCTGTTGGAAGAAGAACGGCGAGGATACCGTTAGTGAGTAGTCGTCGATAGACTGCTTCATTCTCGATCTGCTCGGCGATCGTATCTGGATCCCCTGGATCAGGCACGGGAGAAAGAGCGGGGTGTGGGTTTAGCTCATGATAGAGCACACGGTACGACGTCGGTAGGCCAGAAAGATGTGACTGTTGCCTGGCTAGTCTGTACGCTGGAAGATCATATAGTCAGTAAAAGTTTCCCCCTCTCCGCGGAACCACCATGGATTCCGACAAGAAGAACTTTAAAAATGGTCAAGTCTCACAGAGTACATGTGCTTCCACCAGGCCAGGGATTTCGTCCAGGGCTAATTGTGCAACGTCGATTTGGCGCAGCCTCTGCTCGAGTGCACGCGTGCAATGCGCGATTACTTGTAGAACTTCATTCACAAGAGCCTGGTCGGGAGTAATCTTGGAGTACCACGAGTAAACGAATTCTTTTATTATGATGGCGAGAAGCGCGTAGAGTTGACGATCAACGTCATTGGAGCTCGTGAGGGGAGGTAACAGCTCTTCCGGAGGCTGTGGGCAAGATGCTCCGTAGCTGCTTGTCTGGGGGCAAAGGACGCGTCGGATCAGGGCAGTGGTGGCCTTGTCACTAATGGAATCTGGATCATCCTTTATGGAATCTCTTTGTGTACGGAGTTGAGAGGAAGGACGCGAAGGAGGCTGAAGCGTCGTCGGGGAAGGCAGCGCGGTGGATCTGGAGCTGGAGGTTGTCGGCCCAGCCTTGATATGAGATACCGGCTGGAGGCCGGGGCGGAGCGAATCATTCATTTCATCTCATAGACCGTTAGAGTTGGGTTAGTAGTTTCAAGGAACCAAGCGTTCTCTGTTAAGAGCAGGACAATGACCTCAAGCGTTGATGAGTTGTACATGGCCCAACGGGGACAATAGGGCTTAGGGTTTTGAGATAAGCCTTATCGCTCTCCATTGATGCGGGGATATGTTGATTGCTGGCCAAAATGTACTTAAGAACCCTAGAGGCCTCTTAATTCTCAATTGTATATTTGTTGCTCTAAAATATACAACATGTTAGACCAAGTTAATCAAGATATTCCTACTCCCTTGTGGTTGGATTGCGATCCTGGTCAGTTCATCATGTTCCTCTTACCTTCGTATTACTGACTGCTCCTAGGCCATGATGTAAGCCCAAAAAAAAAACAAGGTTCTAGAAAGACATTTGTTAATATGATATAGGATGCCTTTGCAATTCTGATCGCTGCTCACCATCCCTCTTTGGAGCTGCTTGGAATCAGTACCATCCATGGAAACGCATCGTTAGAGAAGACAACCGCCAATGCCGGCAGCGTTCTGGAGGCGATCGGCAAGCCCAACGTGCCTGTCTATCCTGGCAGCAATAAGCCATTCTCACGGCCTGCTCTTCATGCGCCTGATATTCACGGTAAGGAGGGCTTGGAATGCGGGCGAAATGTTGTAATGACACTTTCTAGGCGAATCCGGTCTTGATGGGACAGATCTTCTTCCCAAGGCCACTAGAGCACCCATCACCGATAAGAACGCCATTTTGGCCATGAGAGATGCTCTTCTTGCACAGCCGAAAGGTACCCCATGGGTAGTTGCAACGGGGACTTTGACTAACATCGCACTGTTGTTCGCAACATTCCCTGAGGTGGTTGAACACATCCAGGGGCTGAGCATCATGGGTGGTGCCATCGGTGGAGGATTCACCGATGCTCCCATGAGCAAACTCCCAGGCGAGAAGACTAGGATTGGAAATGTGACCCCATGGGCTGAGTTCAACATCTATGTATGTTTTCAAATCTTTTACCTCTAACTGGCTCGTCTAACCATGATGGTATAGTGTGACCCGGAGTCTTCCGAGTCGATCTTTAGCAACCCGGCTCTTGCATCCAAGACTACCATCATTGCCTTGGATCTCTCACATCAGGTTTTGGCCTCACAGGCCATTCAAACGCGCATCTTGCATGGCTCCATTCACTCGACGGAGGAACCCACTATCCTTCGGCAGATATTGCATGCGTTACTCACGTTCTTCGCTGCTACATACGAGAAAACTTTTGGATTGACCGCCGGGCCTCCATTGCATGATCCCCTTGCTGTGGCTGTGGTCTTGTCGACGCTTAATCCAGCGTTTGCCAACAAGCACCCTAACCAAGCTCTTGCCTTTGATGACAAAGGCGGCGAACGTTTTGCTCTGAGTATTGTCACTGATGGACAGCATGGGAAAGATGTATCCATCACAGGTCAACTGGGGCGCTCCATCGCTACTCTTGTTGACGGTCCGGGCGTTGCTGTTCCTAGGGGCGTTGATCTAGATGCTTTCTGGAGCATGGTCCTGCAATGTGTCCAGCTAGCCGATGATTGCAATGCTGCACGCAAGGTCTGATTTTTGATGTCTTTAGATGATCTGTGAACCATTTAAGGGTTTTTGGTTACTTTAGACTGCGGCCTAGATATTCAATTGCACATACAGCTACACTGATTAGAACAACATATTGATGCGGGTGGGTTAGGTATGGCCAAAGAAAAGGATTTGTGGCATGATTACGGAGTAAATAGTCCCAAGTTGTACTTCTGAGAAATCCATTCATCCTTTGTCCTTAGTACCCAGATATAACTAACTATATGTATTGTTTGTGAATGCCTTTATTCAACAATCCAACAACCAACCCTGTACAGAACTTCAACTCCATAGAGAATTTAAGGTATCCTGTATGGCCTAGTCCTCAAGGGTGCTTAAGAGTCTCAAGTCCAACTGGCTTGCGAGAATACTAGCGAACCACTAATCGCTAGCTCCTATCCAGCCGAGAAAAAGAGTTTCCCGGCTTCAGTCAATGAATTACCGGATTGCTGATATAGAGATTCGGATTCTACTGCTTTGTGATATCTCAAGATCGATGAAAACAGGTTGTTCTTCATATGGCCTTATTCGTATAGGCTTTATAGATCCTGGATGGATCGCTTTTAGATACAGTCAGCATCATTTAGAATAAATTGGCTGCAGATGATATTGCAGGGGATTCTACATTCCTAGCTTTCAGGGATATATATGCATAGAATAATTTAGAATCAATAACAAGATTGTAAACCCCAAGTTCAATGAAGTTCATAGATTCAGAGCCCCGGCTGAAAGGAAGAACGTCATATGTTGCGGACCTCTCCACATCTTCCTAGAAGCACAACACCAACACACTCTCTCGCAATTTGTGGACATCTTTTCCCCAGACTTAATTTGTGTTTTGTGCGACGGAGTGCAGATATTTTGGTTTCTTGGCCTTGCATGGCCATCGTCGATCCCGCACACTCCTTGACGGCGCATTCCGATCATAATGCCGCCTCCTAACTCAGTATGTTTCATCCTCACAATCCATCACAGTCTATAATATGTGAATTAATATTCTCTAGCATGGCACGCCACCCTCTCCGACGACCTCGGCACCTGACCCTCCACACCGATCGTCGATTCCCACACCTCCCCCTGTGGAGACCGATAACGCCCACGATGACAACGTAAACTTCCTACGATCGCGACCAGCTCTTTTTAATCCGCTACTACCCTCCTTGAGCCGACAGCGTCGCCGTCGTTACCCGACTAATCCGCCACTGCAAAGCGAGGATCGCATGGAGGTGGATGATTCTACAAACCCACGCACGTCCGTTGAACTCAACCGTCGCATCCCGATTGTCCGCCGCCAGGAGAGATCGACCGATATGCCAAACTACGAGGGCCGAGTGCCCAACACACGATCGCTGTATGGATGGGCACCTGGATCCGATGATGAGGATGGTATTGCGCACGAAGAGTCAGAAGATGAGCAGATGCAACCCTTCCTCCATTCCATCTCAAGTCGTGATACAGCCCCCACACGACCTCCACGAAATGAGGTCCCGGGCCCCGCACAAGTGATGCCCCATGAGTTTGAGACGTTACCAGGCAGCAACCGGGCTCGGGCACCGATCTCGGCAGTGGCGGCATTGTTGCAATCTGCAAGGCGTCAGCCACGACTTTCAAGAAGTCGGACACTAGAGAACTACATCATCGATCGCTATTCAGATACCACTCCAGAGGAGGATTCTGAAAATACGATAGCGGTTGCGTCTCGGGGATATCGCTATCGTCCCTCGTCGCGCGGGGACTCACATCATACCAACCTCACCCACAACGCCCTACGCGCTCGCGCTGCCGCTCATCGCCAGCTACACTCAGATACATATTTGGGCAATGTGCTAGGAGAAACCATCCACTATCTTGATTGTATTCGGTATTCAAACTCCCTTGAAGAGAGTATGCTTGCCGCGGCGGAGAGCCGGCTACCCATCTCAATAGATAATAAGTCTTGGAGAGATACGGACTTTATTCTATATACCCTCAACATTGCGCCACCTGCAGCGTGCTCATGGTTTCGATCTGGAATGTCCTTTTCGGGCTGTCAACGAGCTGCGAGTGCCGGGTGTTCAGTGTTATCGCAACGTGTCTCTAGCCCGCACGCCTCCAGTGAGCCTGTTATTGTAAATGGAAGTGATACTACCCGAGTCACAGTTTCTACCACAAGTGGCCGCCGAAACTTAGCTAATAACCGCGATGAAAATTGGCCTGTGAAAGTCACGATACATCAGATCAACCGCGACGACATGACTTTATCCGGCACCATGGAGGCCTACAATATCCCCGATAAGACCTCACCCACCCACGATGCACATATTGTGACTTTCTTGGAGGGTGAAATCATCGATTTCAACAATCACACGCTGGAGACAAAGAACTTCAAAGCAGATGCGGACATTGATAGCACATACTGGCGTGAACTGCAACCATTTAAGGACCTGACAGATGCTGAGATGGCCCGGAACCTTGTGAGTCGGAAGTGGATAACCGAGGAATTATCCAAGGGATGGATCTTGATGAGATGGAAGGGTAAGTATCAGAAGAGATTCTGTATCCTTCTATTGCATATTCCCCTTTTGCTAACATTCCCCTAGAACGATGTTTCATCACCCCAACCGATGCTCGCCAAGGTCTTACAATCTCCGGGTTCTACTACATCTCTCTTCGCCGTGAGGATGGGCATATAGAAGGCTTGTACTATGACCCAGGAAGCTCACCTTATCAGCAGCTCTCCTTGAATCCAGAAGTATCGAAAATGGTTTGCCCTTCTTACGCTTTCCGCTGAAAGAAAGCATTTTATACATATCCTTTTTTTCTTATATTTGCTTTGGCCCGGAATAATCTTCTGGTCTCCTTTATCTGAACCTCCGGTGTCTCTGGCTTGGCGTTCGGAAAAACGTCGAATGGCATCTAACACAGTCCTTTGCATAGCTCGGTGGTGTTCTTCTTATTTGGTTCGTTTATTTTTTCTTTGCATTTCTCTCCCTGCGGAATATATTGTGGCCATCGAACTACTCCAATGGTTTTGCCTTATTCCCCGAGATGATAACTATTTCACATTTTACCTCTTTGGTCTCTTATGCCTTTTTGTATTTATGGACAAAAGTGTGTTTTGGCTGTCATGGAACTCCAGAAATGAGCAAATCCCAGCTATTTCAAGGGGCCCTGCAAATTACTCCCACGTTCCCACTTTTTTTTGTGTTGCCTTCATATATATTACTCCGATACCATTGAGATGGCAATTGAAGTATCTCAGAGGCTCGAAGGGTTCGACCATGTCTGATTCAAAGACATTGGCAAACTCGACCAATCATCTCACTATGAATTTGCTGAAAACGCAAATTGACATCTCGAGGTCACCACGAGAAACATGATTAGGGATTTCCTATCTATTTCAGCTGCCCTGACTAGATTGTCCACTACATGAAGTAAGAAGAAATCTCTCAGCCCCACGCACCGTGATGCGGAGGCTGGGGATAACTTGTAGTACCAGCGTCTAGCATAGGTATTGACACTAAGATAGCTGCCTGAGCGTTCGAGTTTCGAAAGCAGCTTGAAAACTGCTGTAATATTTTAATTGTCATAACTGTGGCTTTTTAGATGGAAAGCGTGCGTGCAGTGGCGTTTCATTGTCCACGCATACATTTGCCTCGTTGCAGTTGCAGATATGGTATGTACGCCACAGAAAGAAAATTGGATACCAAAATGCAGGTTACATCAAGGAAGAAGTTGTTTACAAGGGTGGAGTCGAATTGAAAAGTTGCCAGCTGATAAATACAGTCTTGAGACCCACGTTTCAATAATATGCAATGATGTGCATGTAGATTCAACATAGTGACGAGTCACACAGGCTACATACATATGTATAACAATTTTCGCTCCCAATTTCAATTTCAATTTCAATGCAAGGTCTCACTTCAGCCGCATCTTCTTATTGGGCAGTGGTGTTGCGATGGTGGCTGGGTGCGATACGACCTTGAATATCTCGCGGACTCGCCTTTTCCATGCCTAATACGGAGGGTACAGGTGCGGTCAGTAAGGTATTGTTGAGGTATCCTTACTACCTAAGACAGGACAGGACCTCATCTAGTTGACATGTCTCTCACTAGTTACCCTCTCTCCCAGTAATTAGCTCAAATTGATGATTTCTTTCCCACCTTGCCTTCTCCACAGATGTGCTGATAGATTTAATATTCTCTAATCCTATCTTCGAGCTATAATCTCAATATCCTTTTCCTGCGCTGCCAAAATGCGAATCAATGTCTGCCCATCAAATGGTTGGTGAGACATCGCCTTTGCTCGAAAACGGGGGTTTCATCCCAAATACTGATGTTCTGGATCACACAGTTGATAGTGGTGACGATCAAAAGGAAGGGCAAATAAACACAGTCTTTCTAGCGGTCGCAATGATAGGTAAAACGATGGTAGTGCCATCAGACGAGACTTTCCACTCAAATATTCCCTGAAGCTAATTACCTTGTGGTGGTCGATAGTTCATTTGTGACGGCAACAAACGAATTTGGAGACTGGGAAAGTCTTCTAAAGATCGGATTCTTAGGACCTTGGCTTATATCAAGCTACGTACAATTTTGGACACTCCACAGCACTTCCAGTGGTAAGTTTTGAAGCTTCCATTCAAAGTTGCGGTATTACGAAGCTACCTTTCAGTCGCCTTTATGTTGAGCTTAAGCTCTGGTGGTCCAATTGGAGGACTACTAACTCAGACTGTTGACTGGCGATGGTACCACCCATCTCCAAGAATCATATATTTCTAAACTAATGAGTAAACAGGCCGTTTATAGGACAGTTCTCTCTTATTATTGCCTATCTAATAATTGAAGTACGACGCTTTCCAGGAGTTTCGGCAATATTCAGAGATCATGTCTTATTTGAAGCCTCTCCGCGCTCTAGATTTTTATCGTTTTGTCGTTTCTAGAGATTTTGATCGGGACTTTGATGGTTTTGCTACAGACCGTTCAACAATACGGCCTGACAGCTCATCCTAGAACAATTATCTTTGGGGCCACTTTCGCTACTTCAGCAACCTTTTTCGTGGTAAATGAGGTTTGTCTTTCAAGAAATCCGATTATCCCGACTTCTAACATTACAGAAAATGAGACTTAGGCTGTATGACTGCGTCAGATTGTCTTGTTCTTTGTTCTATCTTCTGCGAATGATCAGAGATATTTGCATCATCTCTGCTAACTAACTAGCTCACCTCGAACATTTCAATATTTTACGTTTGACTGTGCGGAGCTAACGTCGGCTTGTCTAGCCTGGTAGTGTTACTATTTCCTCTGGGTATCGCTCTCGGTTCAATTATTTACGGTTAGTTGATTCGCCGGTAAGTTGGATGGCTTGAAAATCCGGAGTGCAGATGCAATCTAACCATTGAATCAAAACTAAGCGATATAAGAGACTGTCTATTATTGGATTGGGAACAATAGTTGCCTCTTTCGCAGTGCTTGCTCTTATCTAGCGCTCGAGCACTAGCTATCTTGGTCTGATCCCCGTGTTTCTTTCAGGAACCGGAATGGCGGGCCTATTTACCACCCAATTTGTAGTTTTATTAGCACAGAGTCGAGGAGAAGATACTATAACAACAATTATTGCCTATTATTACCTTGCCCAGCAGCTCAAATTGATCATTGGTGTGGCAACCTCAGCCACGATAGTGCGACTGTATTTACCAATGACCTTGGGCGAAGCCTGCATAGAATAGCGCAAATCGACGAGGTGAAGATTAACACAACCTCAGCCCCTTGGCGGAAGCAATGGTCCAGCTTATTCAAAGAATCCTCAACGACAATCGCTTCGCCGAGTCACTACCCAACACAATTCAATCTCGAGGTCGCATTTTCGACAAAACTTTCGTCGGAGCTTTAAAATCATGCCAGGTACGCATGACTGCCGAGGCTCTAGTGTCGGAACTAACAATGTAATCTAGTTCTTTGCCTTTGTACCATTTTAGCGGATGTACCGATTATCGCATTTCTCCAAAAGAATATTCGATAACATGAGTATATTGGAAGATACTTGGGATGAGTAGATTGGCCTATCTCGAAGTATTTCCGGGTTAGACAGTATATGGCACTTACGAATTTTTAATTTTTAATTCCAAACGTAATACGTATGAGATTAGAATTGATTAGAAGAAAACATTGAAGCAATCCCCGCAGATACCTCTAAAGTACCTTGAAATTATGCATCACTCCTTATGTCCTTGGCTTCCATATCCTCCGCATGGACTTGCCTGATTGCGGAAAGTCTGACGACTCGGGTTACATAGGCCCGTCGAGGTAGATCTTCTTTTTCCCCGGCTCTTATCTCTCTAACGGGTCATTCAGCTCTGTGGGTCTATATATCTGTGGATTATTTATTTGCAATGGACCCCCGGGGCCCCTTTTCAATCTCCAGAGCTTCGCAATGCATTGGCAGCACCTTTCGATTTTGGCGATAACAGCCGCTATCCAGCCTGTTATCGGTGCGCCTCACCAGCCTCGAGATGGAACATGCAAGAAAACTAAAGTCGCGATCTTGTAAGTACTGGACCTGTTATTGATTGGTTTAAGACTCACCAAGTATAGGGGAGGTGGTGTGGCTGGGATTACTGCTGCTGTTAGTTCTCCCCTCTTTGTTTATTTGAATGCCATTAACAATTCATAGCAAGCCCTGACGAATGCTTCCGTGCACGATTTCGTGATACTCGAGTATCGCGATACTATTGGCGGTCGGGCCTGGCACAAGCCGTTCGGCAAAGACAAAGATGGGAATCCTTATATTATTGAGATGGGTGCCAATTGGGTACGCATGTCTCAGCCGTGTGAAATGACTCTGCTGACATGTTAAACAGGTGCAAGGTATTGGAAGTCCAGAAGGCCCGCAGAACCCGATCTGGGGCTTGGTAAGTCTCAATATGTAGTTATATGTATTCGATGACAAACTGACCTCGGACAGGCTCAAAAATATGGACTGAACACTGAATTTTCAAACTACGACAATGTATCCACCTACAACAAGGATGGGTATTCTGACTATAGCGATATAATCGATGCCTATGATGAGGCCTATGATATTGCCAACCAGAGAGCAGGTGAGATCCTTACTCAGAATCTCCAGGATCAAAATGCGAAGTCAGGCCTCGCCATAGCTGGTTGGCGCCCAAAGATGCATGACATGGAAGCACAAGCTGTTGAATGGTGGTCGTGGGGTAAGTTATCTGTCTTGTAAATGCACCTAGCACGATCAATTAACATCCGGACTAGACTTTGAAGCTGCTTATTCCCCGATAGAGAGTTCACTTGTCTTCGGCTGTGCGGGCGACAACTTCACATTCAATTATTTCAGCGACCATGACAACTTCGTTTTAGACCAGCGTGGATTCAACATCATTATCAAAAAGCTTGCATCGACTTTCCTCACTGAAAACGACCCTCGCCTTCACTTGAACACTGAGGTCACGAACATCACGTATTCGAACCATGGTGTCACCGTTCACAACAAAGATGGCAGCTGTGTAGAAGCAGACTATGCTATTACCACATTCTCCCTGGGAGTCCTGCAAAATGGCGCTGTCAACTTCTCTCCAGAACTTCCAGACTGGAAGCAGGAAGCCATTCAGAAGTTCACCATGGGAACATACACCAAGATCTTCTTCCAGTTCAACGAGACCTTCTGGCCCTCAGAAACACAATATCACCTCTACGCTGATCCTGTAACCCGTGGCTGGTACCCAATTTGGCAATCACTATCCACTCCCGGATTCCTCCCGGATTCCAACATTATCTTCGTAACCGTGACCAACGAGTTTGCCTATCGTGTCGAGCGTCAAACAGACGAGCAGACCAAGAAGGAAGCAATGGAAGTTCTGCGTAAGATGTTCCCGGAGAAAGATATCCCTGAGCCAACTGCATTCATGTACCCACGCTGGACCTCAGAGCCCTGGGCCTACGGCAGCTACTCCAACTGGCCTCCTGCCACATCTTTGGAGATGCATCAGAACCTCCGTGCCAACACTGGCCGGCTCTGGTTTGCTGGCGAGGCTACCAGCCCGACATTCTTTGGCTTCCTTCACGGCGCATACTATGAAGGACAGGATGCAGGCCGACAAATCGCGGCTATCATGCAGCACCGGTGTGTCAACCCACTCTCTGACAAGTTGAGAGAGTGCGGACCCCGCAAGCACTATGAGACCCTTCATGGCACCTCGCCATATTCCGACTACACTATGCTCAATGGATGGGCTTTGGACAGTTCGATTGATAATAACCCTGAATGAGTGGATATAGAGAAACAGGGAGTCCATGTACAGGCTTGTAACTTTTGGGTCAAGTGATTGAGTTTATTCAATATCATATTTATAGTATTCATTCATGGCCTGGTAGCAGCTATAGCTGACCCTCTAATATGGAAAGAACCCACAAAGTTATATCATTCAATCTAGCGTATGGCTTTGTGAAAATACTTTGCTTTTCCCTCGTAGCCAAGGTCCATAGGTCCTGAATATGATCGGAATAGGGATCATTATTGCGGCTAAACAGCCAAGTAGTGTACCAGCCCATTGAATTCCCATGTTTTGAAACATCTGCCTTGAGAATAACGGAAAGCCTGCAGCTACTGCTGATCGAAGAATGATATTGGCAGCAACAGCTGAAGCGGCTCTAAAATTCAGATACGTCAACAGGGTGATTTATCATTTTATTGAGTAGATAGGCCAATAACTTACATTGGCAAGTATGCATCGACGAGATAGTTGAAGCACGGAAGAAATATGCATAACACCCCAAATCCGATGAATATCCCGGCAGCAGCAGGTACAGCCCAGTGAATCCGAGGAGTGAACCCAGTCCAGCCAAACCTGATGGATTTTTAGTTAGCAGATATCATACATTATTCTAATACAAGATAATTCTACTCACCAAAAGAGACCTATTGTAAAGACAGGCGCTCCTAGGAGCGTTGGAGCGAGGCGCCACTCGGGCACTGGGATGCCTTTATTCTCTGCTAGTTTCCTTGCGTAGTCCAACTGGCCAAAAAGAATGAAAGCACACGCGAGAACCACGCCAATTATGAGGCCAATGAACATTAGACCAGCAAAGGCAGGGGTCATTCCGTAGACATGCTCGAAGACGAAGGGGTATGCCTCAAGAAGCGCATAGACAAGACCATAGATAAAGGACATGTAAACCGACACCACTAGAATAATAGGCTCCGTGAAGAGCAACTTCAATGGACGTGTGAAGTATTTTTCCACTAGACCTGCGATGCTGAACTCGATCTCCTCGTGCCTGGCACGAATACTCCAATTTTGGGATTCCTTGCGGATAGCAACAGCTTTTGCCACAAGAATACAAGGCGGATATGTCTCATCCAAGAAGAGAACACTCAATAGACCATTGACTAGGTTAAAAATTGCTGGGATGTAAAGAGTCCAGCGCCAGCCAAGGTAACTCGACGCAATGAAGCCACCCACAAAAGGAGCCGTAAAAGGTCCCACGAAAACAGTCAGCGCATATAGCGAGATTGCAGCACCGCGAGTAGTATTGCTATACAGATCAGCCAGTACACCGGGTACAACGGACAGTTGGCTTGCGCCAAACATTCCAGCGAAGAAACGGCATATGATCAAGGTTTGGATATTTTTGGCCACTGCCGATGCAATAGTGAAGATCCCACCGCCTAGCATACCAATTGTCAGAGGCCATTTCCTCCCCCGTAACTCTGACGCAGGTGCCCAGATTAGAGGCCCTGATGCAAAGCCAAGGACGTAGAGGGTTGTTCCCAGTGTTCCGACCTCTGCCCCGACCCCGAAAGATTTGCTTGCTTTGTCGATTCCTGGGGCAAAGATGGCGCTTGTAAGTGAGACAATGAAGGTCCCTGAGCAGACCAAGATAGAGTTGAAAAGTCTGTGCGAGACATATGGTCAGTTGTATTCAGGATAGCCGGGTACTTGGCTGGTTTGGACTTCTGGCATACTTCGTAGACAGTCTCCAATTCTGAGGATGCTCGGGGTCATTTGTCCCTTCGAAATCAACGTAGCTTGCTGAGTTAGAAAGAGGTGTCGGAAGTGCCTCATTCGCCCCAATCAACAGCTTCTCGTGCATTTTGAACTTGATGATGGAGGGACGAGAAGCAGACGTGTTTTGTCAATGAGGTTTATGGCCGAGCTCACGTATTTAGTGCGAGGTTAAGACATTGGCACTAATATGTATCGAATATGTATATCCTTTTTACAAACAAATTTGCGGAACTTGTGTGGACTCCCAATGTATAGAAGCGGGTATTGCGGAACGGAGCATTTTACTAGGTACCGCCGCACGGTACTCGCAATTTCCGCGAGGCTTTGTAGCATGATACTACTTTGCAGGGTTGAAAGTTGAAAACAAAGTTGAACACAATGCTGAGAATAATACATGATAATATTAACAAAATCCAACACATTGGTATCTCTTAAGAACATAGGTATGGTTCCCTCATCCAGGTCCACCCAAGAAACTTGAACTATCAATCATGTCCGAATTCAGAAATTGATCAAGGTCATCCCTTTGCAAACCCGGTAGATCAGCGACCAAAGCCCCTAGCCATGTGTACTCTTCTGCGCTTGGAAATTGTTGCGCAGGTGGTCCAGCTGGACTTTCTTGCTCCTCCATGTTCATGATGTCATTAAAGATCGCAAGGTCATCTTTCCTCCGCTGTTGGTGAAGCATAACTAGCAAGAGAGCCGCACTCCAGGCTTCTCTCATGGTGTTTGTGTCGTAAGCAGATACAACGAGCTTCAATGTCTGCATTGCTTCGGGAAGCATCGCTAGCGATTGCCGGGTGTCCATCACGAGTAAGACACATATGATGTGGAACGGTACGTTTGCCATGTGTTGCCAAGGATTGCAGTTCCTGACCATACTGCGTGAGCAACCAAGCCCCTTTTTCAGCAATGCTAAGCTTTTTTCTGCGAGACGAGGGGAGATCTCGAGCTTCTGTGTGTGAATTCTGCGCAGAATGCAAAGGACAAGATTGCATTGCGCCATGACCGATGGAGGCTCATTGTGAACTCTTTCGAGGATCTGGGAAAGCGTTTCTTCAAGCTTCATCTCATCTTCTTTTGGCTTTCCTGGGTCTAGGCTTGCTGATAATGGAAGAAGTCCCAGCAGTTCATGCGTGTAATCGCCCTCGATGATTGATGGAAGCAACGGCAAATTATTCTTTTGAAAGGACACTCTTGACAAACCAAGATCATATGATATCCACATATTAAGATGTAGTGCCACGCCAAAGAGCCGTCTCTGACTGTTTGGATTAAAGGCTGTGTCAATGCTGCTCGGAAAGACTGAATCAGTGGACTCTAGATGGAATCCCGCGGCTTCTACCAGATGCATCAACTTCGAACTCGCCATCCATGTTGAGTAGGGCAGATCTGTCATTCGCATGTAGATGACTCGCAACGTCCACCCAGTGAGAAGGTCCACGGGAGGAGCGCCACACAAAATGTATGTGTCGAGAATAGAAAATGCTGATGTGATGAGATGTAATTCGGTGGTGGTCATGTTTCGTTGGGAAAACAAACAACCTAATGCAGCAACGCCACCAAGAACACTATCATACAGACTATTGACCATGGGAGATTGCCACCTAGCTTCCAGTCGCCCGAAAAAATAGGAAGAATCAATAAAGCCATAGCATGGACCAATCTTGGCGAAGTAGACTTGAGCGAGGGTGTTCATGTGTTCTAATGATGTGATGTCCGTGATTGACGGCACAGGGTAGCTAGCCTGAGATTCGGATAACAGTTGTCGCTTTCCAATGTTCCAGCCAAATAGGCTGAGTTTTGGCGCTTTCGCAGGATCGATATTCAGGGCCATCCTTCGAACAAATGCAGCACCGGAGTTTGCCCACAACCGACGATCCAGCCCGTGTGTATCCACTGAGTCAATTTGCTGTGGAGACCTTGGCGTTGGGGCAGTTTCTCTTGGAGGCTCTTGTTGGGGAGCATAGCGCTTCTGTCGTGGCTGATGTTCGTAGTGGCAATCGTAACCCCATTGACAGCAAGTACTGCAAGGCTCAGCGCTGTCGCATTTTCTTTTGCGAACCCTACAAGGTTCACATGCAATTCGGGCGCGCTTTCGTTTGAAGTCGGATTGTGACATAATTTTTTTAACAATAAGCAGTTCCTGTACACGTAGAGATCCCGCAATTTCCGAGTAGAAATGATAGGTAGGGCGGGTATTGCGGAGGAGATGTATGGAGGAGACGAGTGGGGAGATTGAATAAGTGGGTACCTATGTATTGCGGTGATCACACACCAGGGACCTCTGAAATATTGGGCCAAACAAATGTACCAATATATAGACCGCCTTTCGATTCTGCCAGTTCTGCCGATTCTGCCGGTTCTGCCAGTTCCTTGGCCCGGTATATTAACTAAGAATGTTGCGCACGCTCGCCTCGCTTTTCATAGGTACGTACACACGTCGAATTTATATCCCCATTTACCCCAGAAAAATATAACCGTAATATATGCCACCCCCGGTATTTATATTGGGACAGATTTGTGAAGAAACAGGAGAAGAAATGCAGAGAGAAAAGGAATATATAGTGAGTGAGTGGAGGCGGCAATGTACGCAATGACATTTTGAATAAGTTTCGGGTTCTATCATCGCTTCTTCAAAAGTAAATTTCTGTATTTCTTGCCCAGATCATTAATGGCAGTATCTTACGGTGTCGACAAAGGCATAGGGAGTCAAGATTACAAAATCAGAATTGATGACCTCAGGATATAGGAAGAATGTGGTGGTTGCAGCCCACCTCTTTAGAGCGGTGGTATGAACAAAGGTATAGTGAGGGGATGTGAAGGGCCCAGTGGTTGTGGTTGTGCATATCCTCTGACAGTGATGCAGGTCTGCTAGAAATGCGGGTATTGCGGAGATGCCGACTGTCGTGACGTCGACGATGCCTCGGTAACTTGAACATATCATTCGAAGTAAACTCCCTCCCACATCTTGTCGCATAATATTTATCATCAATAATCTCATTGCAATATTATCCAGATATTGCCAAACCATCTCGAGCATCAAAACCATGGCGGCAAGCTTGCTATCGCGATACCCATGGGTATCTACTCCATTTGTGGTCAGCGCCCCCATGAAAGTATTGTCCAGTCCAGCACTGGCAGTAGCCGTCTCTTGTGCGGGTGGACTGGGTTTCATTGGCCCCGGTGCCAAAACACAGGACACAAATGATGACCTTGAAAAAGCATCATCGCTCCTACGTCAAGGGACTAGCAAATCACCAACGCCCAACTGTGCACTACCTGTCGGCGTAGGATACCAACTCTGGGCTGATGACATAAGTGTTGCCATCTCTGCTATCGAGAAACATAAACCATGTGCAGCCTGGCTATACGCCCCCCGCCAGGGACCCAAGGAATACGACGAATGGTCTAGCAAGATCCGTCAAGCATCCCCTGACACCCAAATCTGGATTCAAATTGGCACTCTGAAGGAGGCAAAGGAGCTTCTCCAGAACCGTGAACGGCCAGATGTTGTTGTCTTGCAAGGGGCTGAATCCGGTGGCCACGGTCGGGCGAAAGATGGAATGGGGCTTATGGTACTGTTTCCCGAAGTCGCAGATGCCATGGCAGACAGCCAAATTCCTTTATTTGCAGCTGGTGGAATCGCAGATGGGCGTGGTGTTGCAGCGGCGATGTGCCTTGGGGCTTCGGGTGTGGTGATGGGGACTCGTTTCCTGGCTGCCAGTGAAGCACGCATTAGCCGGGGTTACCAGAACGAGGTTGTACGTGCGGCCGATGGTGCAGCCTCAACCACGCGTACACTACTGTATAATCACCTCAGGGGCACTTTCGGATGGCCAGATGAATATAGTCCCCGGACTATCTTGAACAAATCATTTGTTGAGCAGCAGGAAGGGAAGTCTTTTGAGGAACTGAAAAGGCTTCATGATGAAGCTCTTAACCTGGGCGATAACGGCTGGGGGCCTAATGGAAGACTCGCAACATATGCAGGAGCCTCTGTGGGACTGATACATGATGTGAAAGAGGCGGAAGATATTGTCTATGAGATTCGAAATGATGCATTGGAAATAATTCAGCGGTTGTGTCCGCAAGAGAAGTAGGAAACTATTCCAAACAATTTTGGTGCATAAAGCTGAGCTGAGGTTTGATAAAAATATTTATTTACTGTGTACATCTGATCAGGTAGATAATTTGAGATTGCCATTAATATCCGTATGATAATGTCTTTGAACTTGTCGAGATAGGAAGGTTTAAGAGAAGAGATCCAACTTCAGAGCACAGTCAAAGAGGAAATTTCCCATTGCCATTAAAATCTCAATTATGCTCAGCTAACTTGCGTATTACCAACTAGTTTCCAATCCCTATCTCAACTTAATCAATTTAAATACCATTTCCTCCAAGCTTGACATCCTCCACAAAGAAAATCACTGGCATAAATTGGTCTTGCAAACTCCAGAGCAGCATTGACTGCCCGACATACAACTCATGTTATTCAGTCCACAGGTACCATCCCACTCACAGTATGCGTTATTCTCATGTTGAAGACTGCACGACATGCGGCCTGGGCAGGGCTTTTCAGAGGAGCACTCCACGCCGCGAACATCCTCATTCTTCATGCAGATCATCTCGACACTAGAAGCTCCAAAAGAATTGAGAACACGGGTAGGACGGCACCGTAAGCCAGAAGGACACTCAGAGCCCTGCTGGCAGCGCAGGTTCTCTGCGGCAGCCATACACATTCCACTCTGGCAATGACTCGCGACACACTGCGCGTCTTCCATGCAAAGGGCGCCAACCACAGAAGTTCGCTGGCACGTCATAGAGCTTGAAGAGCAGTACATGCCATAATCTGGGTGAGTTGATTGACAGTTCAGCTCAGTGGAGCAGATGTCATTGGGGCAGCTGCTTGGACTCTTGGTAGACGCATGATCACTTAAAAAGATATGTCCCTGTCTGTCAGCAGGAGAATGAACTGACATGCACTTCATGCTTCTGACATGTTTACCAACACCATCGCCAACAGCATGTCTGAACAAATTCGCATGGGGTCGGGTAAACGTAAACAGCTCCTTGTTGCAAGAGTTGTCGCTAGATGGTTCAGTACTAGACACTTGTAGTCAGAGGCTCTTTACTTACGAGTAAAATGAGCACATCATATCCTGCTTGACCTCGGACGGACATGGCACATAGACTGATCCAACGTTCATGCGACTAAAACTTCGGTCAATAAATCTTTTCATAGTATGCGAAGAATCCTCAACTTACTATTCGGGCATGCTATTGAAATTCATGCAATTTCCATCAGATGCAACAAGCATTCCTTTTCGGCCGGCATTCACTGCGAAGTCGTTTTCTTTGAAAACCATGGCCTAAATAAAGAGTAAATGACTTGAGCAAGTGTAAGCGCACTCCATAGCTGTACCTGATTAGGCATCATCATGACTGGGCTGGCAGCCAGTGCCAAAGGCAGAAGTGCAAGAATATTAACAAAACTAGACATCTTTTCTGTTTATTGGGATGGTTTGAAATGGTCAATAGTGAGTAGTGGATTAATTGCTGGATGAGAAGCAACCTTTATACTCGAATTTGTTATCCGACCGCACTATTTTGTCTTTCAATTTGTGCCTTATTTTTGTGTGTTCTTTTTCTTTTAGGATGCGATACAAGAACTAGGCCCTTGTCAGGTTTGCATGTCGTCTGATCTAGATATCTCGGTTGGCTACAGAGCCGGCATCACCGGGAAAGATCGATAAACACAACGGTCAACTTACTTAAACTTTACGCTGTGTATTTTCAAATCTATACTTTTCGAAATAAATTATCAAAAAAGACCAAGTCCGAGATTTCTCTTCAAATGTGCAACCTTGACCCATGCCGGGATGTTCGGCTAGATCTCAATCTCAGTTCCGTAGTCCCAACGTTGATTGATGTCTTAGTTACAGAGTTGTGCACATGATTGTACGGATAACAAGGATAAAATATTGTAGGACAACCTTATACATGTATGTACAGCAAAGGTCTAGGCAAGATATACTACACTGACAGTTCCCTTAACGGCAAATAAACCGAGACTAGTGTTCTTCTCGAGTGATTGTCTTAATTTACGATCCAATTCATTCATATACATGGCACACATACAAAGCAGATATTGGCGTAGTAGCCAGAGTTTCGTTTCCTCATATCATGAATGCGGCGAGCTAGCGATTGTATAAGCCTTGATAAAAATGGCTACCTAGGTTCCTTGTATAGCAATCCACCGCGCTCAGTTACACTGAACCAAATGCACAAAATGGCTAATTTTGCAACATTGTCAATGTTGTGCCAGCGACAAATTCACCATCAATGGCTTGCGTTCCCAAATATTGTAGGATTTCTGGATATTCCAATCAGTTGAACTCTCGTCCATGGTCATGTCGAAGCTCCAGAAGACTTTGGCTGCAATTACACGCATTTCTGCATAGGCAAGGCTGTGGGTGGATACAATTAGCCCAATCCCCAAGGATATCAAAATCAAGACTCACTTTCTTCCAAGACAGTTACGGGGCCCAAGTGAGAATGGTTGAACTGCATTCCGATTGTCTAACTCGAAGCGCTTGTCTCTGTTCTCCAGCCATCTCTCGGGAATAAAAGAGTCCGCTTCGGTGAAATGAGACTCGGAATGGTAGGTAGAATAGTGGGCCCCAGACACAGAAACCTGTTGAAGTCAATATCCATAAAGATCACACTTGAAGTAGAGACGTACGTTCTCTGGGACGAATCGCCCGTCGATCATCGCACCATCCTTAGGTACAACCCGCGGAATAATAGACGGGACAGATGGGTAAACCCGCAGACTTTCCTCAAGTGCTGCATTCAGATAAGTCAGTTGACTAACTCTTTGGAAGTTGATATCTTCGTAAGATTTGAATGATTTTCGGATTTCATCCACGAGTTTCCGATAGGTTGGGGGGTTTGCCAGAATATAATAGGTGAGTCCGGAGAGTAGGCTGGCGGTTGTCTCACTCCCAGCGAGAATCAGTAAAGCCGCATTTGATTCCATCTCCCGTATAGTCATGGACCTCTCATCATCATATCGCAAGATGTAAGTCATGAAATCTGGCCGTTCAACCTTGGTCTCCAACCGGCGATGGACTTTGTCTGTTGCCAGTTCAAATGATTCTGCTCGCATCTTTGCGAGCTTTTTGGGGAGGAACCTTCTGAAAATCGGTGCCAAAAAAGGATAGACCAATAGTGGTCGCGATAAGGCCACCACTTTAGTGCTCACAAAGACCATCTTGACCCATGGGTGATATTGGCTTTCCCGTAAGCAGTCAAAGGGCTCACCAAAGGCCAAGTCTCCAATGATGTCAAATGTAGTGAAGTTGTACCACCGAGACATGTCGACTGTTTCCCGTGATGAGGAAACTTCCCCCTTCAGTCGCTCTACCAACATGTCAACATATGACTGAACTAGTCCTTCTTGCTCGCGCAAGGCCTTTTCAGAGAAGGCATGCGAGAGTAATCTTCTTCCTCTTGAATGGTCTTCATCGTTCATGTTGATAAGGCTGGGTCCTGTCGGACCCCGAAGGTAAAATTTGGGGTCTTTCAGGAACGACGGGGCTCCAGATTTGCGGTGGCCATAGATATCTTTCCATGCCTGTGGGCTGCGATAGACAAGAGACTTGGGGGCTGTCCTAACCACATCTCCATACTTATCATGGAGCTCCTTGAGTTTGTAATGATACTGCCCCGTTGATGTCCAGTACAGGTTTTGGAGATTGGTGCATGCGGCAAGTTTCGGCCCTGGAAACTTTGACAGTGGACTAAAGTAAAGGTTGTAAACCACGGTCCATAAAAGATATCCTAAGGGCTGGAATATTCTCAGTGCTGTGACCCAAATGCAACAAATTGAAACACTTACAGTGATGGCCACCAGATAGATGATGGGTATCATATCAATGACCCATGTGTTAGAATTCCAAGACAACATAACGATAATGGGATGAACAGTCAGCTTGTATTCAGAAATGGCAGTTTGTAGGTAAAACACTGGATATCTCGGGCGCTTAATGATCAAGTCGTCGTCATTCGAAGGTAAGCCAAGTGGCCTGTAGAAATTTCCCCGCACAATCACCTGAGATTGCACCCCTGTAGTTTCTTAGTACTTGGTTCTTGGTGCTTGGTCATCGTAAATTTGGTATCTAAGCGAAGAAGTGCCGCATGTGAACGTTTTGTTAGACTCAGTTTGGAGATTGGTGGAGGATTCCAAGCATGTGACAACACTACGCTGTGCTCTATATTATTACATATATGTATAAAACAGCCCCCATCTCACTTTCTAGTCATAGTTTCAAGCATCACAGACCAATATTCATAACGAACTGAGGAAGTCCATCATCTAGGCCCCATCAACCCCAACCAAGGACATAGAATCATGGAGTATGGTATCAGACTGGATCATGCTGTTATCAATACCATTGTTCGCAGGCATATTTGGGCGCCACGTTTCCATCAATTTCGGCTCCCAGTTCATTCTAATGCCTTGAACCATTCTCAGTCTCTTTTCGAGGAGGTTCATTTCCCTGCATTGGTCGAAAGTAATAAAGTCTGGGCACTTCCTGATCACGGCTCCATTTCTGTTCAGATATTCGAGAGTATTTGCGGTCTCTTGGACCATACTCTTAGACCATGTAAGGTCTTCCAGAATGGTGAGCTTGTACAGTGTGATAATGGCTCGAGTGAATTGAAAAAAAAATGATACACGATACCTGTAGGTACTCCTCCCCTTCAAGTTCTAGCCACACATCTAGCCAGCCTTTTGATGCTCAAAGGGAGGTGTAAAGTCTGTCCAGGCGGTGGAGGTCAGGCGAATTTGCAATAGCGGGGGCTCCCATTGATAGTTCATTAATTATGACTTCGGCATTGTAGAGATACATCAGTATGACTCCTTTTATTTTGTTAGTCATGGCTGTGGAGCCTCGGGAGGAATAGAACCCCACGGTGTTGCTGAAGGTGAGGCGGAATTTGGCTCTTCACTGTGTCTAATGGCGTTTTGAAGGTATCCAGATAGAAGGCTAGTGAGATAGAAGCTTCGCCGTCCCGCCGCAATTGATAGACTCTATCCAAGACCAAATAGATCTTGACTAATACAATCAGGAGCTCATCCTGGGGAATGTCAATACCAGGCGACGCGTCTCCGACCCAGTTCCTATGGAGGCGAGTATTAATTGCACATTTGGGTACAAGCATGCTGTGCCGGAGTACAATACTGATCATCGTTGGGGGTTAGACGACCTCAGAAGTCGCTGTGGGCTTTGTATACACTGTGTGAGGTTGGGTAAAACGGATTCAGACTACTATGGAATTACACATGAGCACTAGCCTGCGTTGCATTAGACCGAGGATGGAGGCTCCTTGCTTGGTTAATCTTTTTGTTTCTGGGATAGAGCTAAAGGGGCGTGAAAAATTGACTTGAAGACTCCCACAGGGATATCATCCAACGGTATCCCCCCTAACATTGCATATGGATAATCAAACAAGTTCTTTAAGTCAATTCCTAGCAACTCGAAGTCCTCAATGCGGTAACTTGGATCGTCGATAGAAGGGATGAATAACTGATCATTTTCACTTAACAAGATCGCATCACCCAGCGGTATGGCCCCGGGATCGAGTGGCAGCTGCTCCTGTAGCCCAGGCAGTGTTTCAGCTGGTTGATTTGATGTTGGTAAACTAGTGGTGGGCAACGCTGCAGTGGGTGGAGGTATCTCTGTTGCTCCAGCCGGCATGTTAGGTGGAATATCGCAAGAGGAATCACCAACGTCCATGTCAATCGTTTTTTGTTTGCATTCCCTCTTCTCGAATACATATTGGCGTGCGAGATGTGCGAATTGTGCAACTAACGAGCCAGGCAAAGTGCCATTGCTGGCGAATTCTAGTCGACTGAAATGTCCACTGGCAATATCGAGGAGCGCAAGACTGAGGCTAGCCTCAGGGTGTTCTGGGTTGTGGACTACTAGATCGAAGAGAATCATCAAACATGATAGCGGTAACACCGCAAGCATCCTAAATATTGGCTGTTAGTGACTCCTTGGATTTGGTTTCCTTGGATTTTTTTCGATGATATATGATTGAGTAGAGGTGTCTTCTTTCGGCGACTTACCATACAGGAGTGTAGGGAGCAACTTCAATGAATTTGGTTAGTTCCAAAACAGAGCGTGCAGTTCGCATTAGCCCTCGTTTCAAGTCAAGCTGTCGCATGGGCTCCAGCTTGATCGCACTGAAATGTAACAGAGTCCAAGATAGAGTCAACAGCGCGTGAAAATACAAATAATTCGTCATCACCGCGATCGTCTGAGCGAGTGGCTCACGTAGGAGGCGAGGCTTGATCGGCTCTCCCGCGCGAAAGCGTCCAGGAGCAGAAATACGCCAAGCCTCTAGCTCTGTTAGAAATCCCTGCACCTTGGAATTGTATTCGGCGGCTGGTTGATTCACAGAGCTTATTGTGAATAGACTACTATGGATTTTGGACACCAGACGGGCGTATTGCAAAAAGCTGAACCCCCAATCATAGTCATCAAAGGTGGATTCTTGCACATCTGGAATGGCACAGCTGATATTTGAGTCTTGGAGAACCTGGAATCTTCGTATCAGTGGCATTCTGATTTTATATTAATATCAGAAACATACCGAGACCTTTCCTGTTATGAAGCAAGAGACTTTCTCCATAAAGTATAGTACCCAAAAGGTACGTCTTTGCGTATCTTCATGTGGTCCATTCGAGCGGTTATATCCCAGGCCTTGTGCCATTACTGCAGCCTCTGAGAGCATTAACGGCTCAAGTTGAAAGGCGGATGCGGTAGTGGAGAAGATAGCCTGATATATTAGCAAAATCCTTGTTTCAAAAAGAGATATACAACTATACCATAGCCATGAGAGCCTTTAATAGAATATATAGTCAGTGTCTGAGCAACCACTTCATGTTTAGGGGAAATAGACCTGAACTGCCATGAGCGAACCACGGAAGAATATGAGATCCTGAAAATAAGACAACGATCGTTCAAAGTACGACCATGCCTCGCCAACGCCCGCCTCGTAGCTACCACCATCATTATACTGGCAGCCAATCGCTAAAACCGCATAAAAAAGCGCCGCGAAGGTTTTGTCAGTTGCGAGGAAATGCAAAAGGTCCGGGGAGGTCGCCTGGCATTGGAATGTGGTAGCGCAGAGGAAAGGATATACCGGATGAACCATCTCAAAATAAACTGTGACATGAGATGATTAGTTGGTAGAAGCGCCACAAAAATTGGATCGATAGACGAACTGAGTATATGTGCGTTCAGGCACTCGCGAGGAGGGAGATTGTGAGCATTCTGTAAGTGGTATTCCTTCCGAACTTGGGAGCGAGGGATCGAACTAGTCGCCTTCACCTTGGCTGCGACAATATCGCGAATATCTGCAAGTAGCTGTTCTAACCTGTCGTGGCCGAGCCTTTCGCTGATAGAGCGGACTCTCTTGGCTGGAAAAAAAGAGATGTTGGGGTTCGGGCCAAATATAGCCGTCAACTAGACAAATTAGCATCGTCAGCTAGAGGCAGTAAAGTTCGGGGAAATGAAAGGCTCTAACTTGATCTGGGTGTTTCGCGCTCATGGAGATGCGCGAAGCTTGCCGATCGGCCAACAACGAGTCGATATACAGTTTCTTGGGAACAAACTCTGGTGAGTCTTCCCCGTTCAAACCAGGTCTGGGGCGTCTCGGTGAGTCCTCTACATGTTCTTTATGAGCGAAGTCTGAGGTATTCTTCAAGCACTTTACCTGACTGGGCTAGCTTGCGTTTTTGACGCTTTTTCACAACGCTAAAACAGCATGGTTTATTGCGAGACTGCACATATTGGTTATATTACTCACGATCCACCTCAAGAGTAGTTAAATAGCCCTACCAGACAAAATTCACATGTATCCGCGGTGCTCATCTCTGTTTCCGATATCAGGGGGGCCATCAATTGAACACATCACGGCACTCACCGCACCGAGCCTTCCGAGCCCGACATGCGTCGCAGGCCTGATTCAATGGTTCCGACATAGCGAAGGTAAAGTTGCTGGGAAGTGACAGAGCGCCGAAGACGTTGTTTAAAGCCGTTCTGTTCTGATGACTTTATCTCCGGCGCCGAAGTGGGTCTTTTTTTTACTCAGCAAAAGCTCCACATCGGCGCCGAAAATGAGGCGACACGGGACTATCGACGAGAGATGTCCTCCGTCACATAATAGATCCAGTAAATCAATCCCCTTAACATATGGATCGTGCAAAATGACGCAGAGAATTACTTAGCTTCCGAAAAGAGCCAAGAGAAAGACGGTATATAGAGACTCTGCCGGAGACCATGACGATGCCTCCGCTGCTATCTGTTTTCCTCTACGCAGACTAGTTTACTTTTCTTACTTTCTTTTAGTTTTCCAATCTGTCGACTTCTCCATTTCCTCTTTTAGTTGGAACTAGAATGGCATCCCAGCGCCGCTCGTTTCCAACTGAGATTTGGAGTATTGTGTCTGCCCAGGACCAAAGAGCATGGTCGGGCTCAACATACTACTCACATGTGTGGTGGTTATTTTTCCCAAGAGATTTGTCTAGGAAACGCCTTGTGCTGACGAAATAACCTGTACTACTAGTAACTTTGGAATTCTTGTTGGATTTACCATTTTTTTCATGACGGCCTATCTATTGGTGGCCGAATACCTTACCGCTCACCCTCGAATTGGTGAAATTCTTCTTTCTAGATGCAAGCATCTATCTACTGCACGAAAGAAGCATTCAAAAACGAATGAAGAATCTTCAGCACAAAACAGTCCCGGAGCTCTCGCTCTGCGTAAGAAGCTTGAGCAAGGCGGTGCCGATGGAGAAAGAGCCGTTAACATCCAACAAACAAATGTTCTTTATAAGACCAGGGTGGGCTATTTACTGTAAGACCTTCCTCTGACAATTTTACTCAATTCTGACCCTGTTCAATTTTCTTTGTGTATTCTTAACTCTCACGAAAATCCGCATGTCTTCACCATGAATTACCCAGATATAAAGAAGTCTTCTAAAACAAAAGAAGAGCATAAATCATTCTTCACTATACATACTACACAATAGCATGTCTAACTCAACCCCAGATCATCATCTCAACTCAAAATCAAAATCAAAACAAAATTCCAAATAGCCTGGCCGCCCTCGAAATCAAGTCAACGACTCCGACTCAGCCCCAAATTACTCCTACAAATCCAGCAACTACCACCAAATCACCGACCAGTGCCCGTGTTAGAAATCTGGCAGCCATCACTCCGCAAATCAAAATTAACAAGAGGTTTCGTGCACCCCCTCAAGCTGGGCACGAGGGATATATACGCAACACTTCATGAGCCGTATATCACCAAAAGTAAACAGCCACGGAAACAGGGTCATTCTCACGACCAGTATCCGCCAGAAATCAGCCACTATAATGCCCGGAAAAGGGATATCATTGCTGCAATATGCCAACCGCCCAGCAATGACCATCCCACATCAGAAATCCACTTCCGTGACGCACGATGCATTTGGCAGGCCAATGCTAGCTCAACAGGACCTGAGCAAAGTATACTGTGCTACAGATTTATTATCAAGAATGACGAAAATATGACGGACTCCGAGCAGTGCCAGATGATCCTCCAGTGGGAGAAACGGGGTCTCTCTACGAATGGGAATGGGACACCTCAGTTTCGAGATAACGAACACTTCGTTCTTGTGGCAATTGATCGCAGGACGCGCCGTAAGAGTAGGATTGCGATTATGAATCGGGGCGGGTTTGAGATTACTGTTCGGGAGAGACTGATCTCGGATCATCCTCGCTCTTGTTTGGCGTTCCCGGATCCTGTTTCTGTTGGTGGGGGGACTCTAGATTCTTGTGTGGATTTGGAGACTTGGTTGTATACTCATGTGTTGACGTTGGGTATTTGGGTGGCTTCTCAGGAGGGGTGGCTGGCTTGATTGCTTTTGATTTAAATCCTTAATACACTTTGTATTTCTTCCCTCACTAGTATCTACTTTCTTCATATTTCTCCCATTCGTAGTCCCTATCATCACCATCTCGATAAACTATAAATTACCTCTTTATAAAACTACAATATAAAATTGGCTCTCTATTGTAACTCCTGGTACATTGCATATGGCCAGTAAGCAATGCAAAACACCAAAGGAAGAATGGACCGGCAGGGTAGGGATTATAAGGGGGATGTGCTGCCCGTGGCTCCAGAAAGTATGCGCGAGGGGTTTACCAGCCAATTGCGGGAACACGCATACTAAGTAGCAATCGGAGGGTAGGAAATGGTAATTAATATTAGCCAAGATACAATTGACAATAGGAAGTAGAAAAGAAAGAAGTCTAATCAAATTTCTTGAGGTGAACAAAGAGTAGTGCAAGGGAACAAGAAAGAAAATCTCTAGCTACCACTCAATCTATGAGCACCCATTGTAATCCGTACATACATAACTATCTCTCACTGCGCTTTCTTCCATGAAAGGTACTTGGAAGCTTTTTGAGCCCAAACTGCCACATGCGATAGACCCGGGCTACCACGGACCCGCACATACCAGTAAAGGATCAAGGTAGCAATCACATTAAAAGCCACATACACCCAAATCAAGCCAAAGTTCCTCCAACGATCACTGTAGGAAGACGAAATCGATTGCAAAAACACATTGGAGTCGGCAATGGCGCAGAATTGACAATCAGATGTCGCATCAAGATTATATACCGCACCTCCAGCAATCTTCATGTATGCCCCCAGATAGCTTCCACAGGTCTGCCCACTAGGTGGCTGAACTAGGATAGTTTCAATTTCTGAGCATTGCACATCGATATTGGCGAGTCCACTGGACATCATCCCGCTAATGATGTAGGTCAGGGGAGACGCACGGTACATGAAGATCCAAAAGCCAGGTAGACTTGCTGGGGTTGCCATGACTCCGCAGAATATCAGAGAAAACACGAACAGAAGCAGTGCCAAAATTGCCCCGATCTCTGCCGTGGCTGCACTGGCGACTACCATCGTCGTAAATGTACCGCAGTGCATGAGGAAGCCCCAGATAAGCAGAAACATCAAGCCACCTCTCTCGGTGGTTTGATAAGTTGGTGCAGCATTGTGGTTCATACCGATCAGGTAGTAGAACGGAATGAAAGTAACCAATGCAGCTAGTGAGTTCCACGGTATCTCGACGATGATCTGGGCTAGTATGAAGGCTATCCAGGAATAGGTCTTGGATGGACGCTCCCGGACTTCATAGAGATCACGCTGCAGGATGTAATTTGGCATCTGTTGATATGCTAGGAAGGGGAAGATAACAAGAAGCATGAAAACAGCGAACATTTGGTGCTGTAATCCTAGCTCGGTAATTTCCGTCTGTAGGAAGGAAAGTCCAATAAACAAAGCCTGGATCAAAGGCAGCATATTAGCATAATAGCTCTCATGGAGAATAAAAAAGCTCATTGGACTTACTGTGATAAAACACATGATCAATTTTGAATAAATGTAAGAAGGAGTTCTCCAGTATTGCTCGAAACCCCGCTTTGTACAGGTCCAGAGCTGGACATGGAAGGGACTGGCAAACTGGAGGGAGAAATCGGCAGAAGAAGTAGTCTCCAAACTGTCTTTGCGCTCTAATGAGATCAGTTCCCCTTTGACACTGGCGTATTCCTGACTGCCGAGCCAGGTGGCTGGCCAGTCAATCTTTGTCGCGCTGCCCGGGGCGGCGCCAATAACACGGAGCATCCATTCTGCAGGATTATCACTTTCCTCACAATCATCGGCTCCGTGGCGCTCGAAATACTCCGTCATGGTCTTTGAGTTCTCGCCAATATCGCCAAAATAAACTGTGCGACCACCAGACGCGAGAAGAAGCAGACGATCAAATTGTTGGAAGAGCATTGCTGAGGGCTGATGTATCGTGCAGAGAATGGCTTGCCCATGACCTGTGAGCTTCCGCAAAAGGAGCAAAATTGACCATGCAGTCTGACTGTCGAGTCCGGACGTTGGTTCATCAAGGAAGAACAAAAGATCGGGCTTCGCTGCTAGCTCCACACCAATCGTCAGTCGCTTCCTCTGCTCAACATTCAGCCCTTCGCCTGGAACGCCAACGACAGCGTCGGCGTAAGTTCTCATTTCAAGCAGATCCAGAATTTCCTCGACACTTTGGAGCTTCTCAGCCTTGCTTACATGTACAGGCTGTCTCAAGAAAGCACTGAATTCCAATGCCTCTCTGACAGTGGCAGTCTCCAAATGAAGATCTTGCTGCTGAACATACCCAATTCGACGTTGAAAAGAGGCATCTCGGGGAAGGCCGTTGTTGTAAATTCCACCTGTCACGACTCCCATGGTCACTCGATTGGCTAGCACATCCAGCAACGTGGTTTTGCCTGCGCCCGATGCACCCTGTACCCTATCAGCCTTCGCTTCAATTGGGATGTTATTCAAATATGATAGCCAAGCTTACCATCAGAGCCGTCAGTTTTCCTGGCTTGACCCAGCCGTTGACATGATCGGTGATTCTTCTCGTCTGACCCTTGATTGTAATATCATAGCAAAGGTCTCGCCAATGAAAAATGTTTTTTTGTGCCATGATGCCATTCGATGCTTCTCCGTTGGCTTCATCTTGCCTGTATTTTTCGTGCGATGCTGGAGATCCGACTTCAACATCCGTTTTTTGCTTCTTTTTCATGGCAGAGAAATGCCGGCGCTGAAAAATAAGAATCTCTCCTTTACCTACGCCAGAGCTGATGTACTCGGCTGACAATAGATAAACAATCATGAAGAATAGCATGAAAGCAACAAGAATACCAAAGTTCCTATATACCTCATGTCAGATAAGGATTAGCTCGTAATAGAAAAGAACGTACCTCCACACATGTGAGTAATAATACCCATAGCTCATAGCAATATAGAGATCTCCGTTGACCGCAGATGACCCAGCCGAAGCACCAACCACTGCACATGTCCGATCCGCAGCAGTTATGTTCTGATACATAGGTCCAGCTGGTATAAAGTTCGCACATTCGAAGTTGCGGCCATGGAATTCGTTCGCAATCAGCGCCTCGTAGGAATATGCAAGAGGGTTAATGTAATTAAGCCATCGCAACCAACCTTGCATGTTGCGGATGGGTAAGATAAAGCCTGTGTATAGTACCATAGCAATGACCATCAATGCCGCTGGTGTCAATGCTTCCGCAATTGTTCGAGTTGTTTGGCCGATCGTGCGAAAGATCATTGACATGACAAGGGTTGAGGAAAGGACAATTACCAAGTATGTGACGACGTGACCCGGTTCGCTTCGCAAATTTCCCATGTAATACAGTGGAATATTGAATGCGATTGTGGATAACATTTTGGAGGGAGGATCACAGATCATAGATGCCATTGCTTCGGACAATGGATGGTAGAAAGCATAGGTGGCATGCTTTTCGACGATTGGGCGCTGTGCATACAGTGATAAAATCTGTCAAGCTCTGTCAGTTGTACGTTCCAATTTTTAATTGAGCTGAAACTGACGTGCCTCCAAAGAACTGTTGAGGGCGTTGAATAGCAGCGCAAAAAACAAAAGAATACAACGACTCTGGAAACTTGCGGTTGTATCCTGTAGCATATAGAACACACTGCCTAAAAGCAATGAAATCACCAAGTTTCCACCGACCGTGATGATAAAGAAAGTCATATCGCCTTGAATTCGGCGGAATCCCCTGCGGATACAGAGAAGTACTTGCAATGGGACTGAAATTGTATATGGCGAGTTCGGTGTCCTGAACCTGTCAGTTTCTTTATACACATAGTTTCCATACATTAAAGAGAAGGACTTACATCCAAGGAGCCTTTTCAGCTTGCCGGGATTCTTTGAAACTGTCAACTGCCGGCCCCCCCACTGGATGTTCTCCACCAAATTCCGCAAGATCCCGCATTAGCTCCTTGTAAAGTACACTTTCTTCCCACGCCTTCGCGAAGTCATCTGGAGATCGGGGCACTTGAGCTTCAAATCCAGATCTCACCACTCGCTCAACCGGATTCGTAAGGGAAGTCAGGAAATCCGGAGTTGTCTGTCGGTCTGGGCAGTGGTATCCAAGATTCACGAAGTAATCTTTGGCCAGATGAACAGGCCCATAATAAATCTGTCGACCCTCGTATAGCACGGCAACTTTATCAAAAGTCTGCCCGTGTGAAATCAGCGTACATTCGCTAGAGTAATAGAGCAAGTCATAACAAGTCATACCTCATAGGCTTGTTGGGAAGCCTGGTACAAGGCTACAACTGTTGCCATGCTTGTGATGTCTGCTGACAAGCGTAGAGTCTGGACAAACTTCAATGCAGTGGCACTATCCAATCCTCGCGTGCTATTATCCCAGCATTGGATTGGACTTTGTGCCAAGCAAACCTCGGCTATGCTGACTCTCTTGCGCTCACCACCACTAACACCGCGGACAAAGTCATTGCCAACTTTCGTTTCCATTGTATGCGAGAGACCAAAGATTGCCATGGTGACATCCCGCATGTGTCTGGCATATTCATCCCGAGATACACCGGGAAGCCGGTTTTGAGGGGTCTTCGCTAAAGCCGCATACAGAAGCGTTTGGCCGACAGTCAGATTTGGGAAATGGGTGTCAGTCTCAGCCTGGTAAATAACATCTCCACGGAATTCTCCTCGGAACTTCTTGCGGGGAATGCCTTGGAGAACATGTAAGCATTGAACGTGGCTGAGGAAGTAGTGTACAAACCTTGATAGTTAAAATCCGAACCTTCGTCCAAAAAAAGACCTTTTGTTTGTCCTGCGATTGTCTTGAGGAAGGTTGATACTCCACTGTAACAAGTTTCAAGTCAGCAGGCTTCCTCGTGGCCAAAGATTGATCGAGTCTATATGTCTTACCTGCCTGGCCGCCCCAGGACAAGAAGCATCTCGCCATTTCGGAGCAGACCGTTGTGGGCGCGCAGGATTTGGATTTTCTGATC